CCAAAAAATGTAACTCGTTACCGTTACAGTTACCAAAAAAAGAAAGTAACGCAGTTACCAGTAAAGTTACCAAAAAAGTAACTTGTAACTGTAACTTCGTTACAAGTAACGAGTTACTTCCATTCCCTGTATATTATATTATAACAACTAGCCACCAGAGATTCAAGGAAGAGACTCGCGCTAATTCTCGCATGTACTCGAGACACGTGAAATCTGTTTATATACAACCTGACGTTTTGTTATATATACATGATTATTTTGAATTTGCAGGAATGAGAAGAGTCATCAACGACTATGGCTGAATCGCTTGTTCATTTGTGAGCAATGGTCTTGTAATCGTTGTGTAACCTCCATGAATTGGTCACCGCAGTTCCCCGAACTTTTAGCGGCTTCGTACAACAATAATGACGACGTTCCTAACGGTGCATATCTGATCTGGAACACGAAATTCAAAAAAATAACTCCAGAGTTTATCTTTCACTGTCAGTCACCCGTTATATCAACTACGTTTGCAAGATTCCATCCAAACTTGATCCTGGGCTGCGTTCGGAAACATCACCTGAGTACCCCCATGTATCGTCTTATCCTTGTTGTTCACCCATGTTAAACGAGAATAAGATGATACACTGAGGCATTCGGGTGATGTTTCCGAACGCAGCCCTGGATATAGCAAGCATGGTTTACTTTGGTCAAATCGTGTTATTGGACAACCGAGTACAAAAAAAAGTTTTTTTGTACTCCCATACAACGTACCCCTTTGTCTGCTACAGCACATACTGTAAGTGACTTATCATTTTTTAACATAGCTTAATTAGCTAATTAAGATTTTAGCTTCTAAGTTTAGAATGCGAGAACGAAGAAATCATTTATTTTGCAGCATCCAGTATACTGCTTAAACGTTGTTGGAATACAAATTACACACAATTTGATTAGCATTTCGACAGACGGCAAATTATGCTCATGGACATGCTGTCACAACCGAAAGAGGCATATTGGAATTGCACACGAAGCAATCTAAAGCAATCGCCGCTATATGTTTGGCCTTTTCGCACTGTTAATAATTTCGTCATGGGAAGTGAGGACGGAACTGTTTACTTATGTAAGTGCAGTTGTCCATGTATGTGAAAATATTGAAAAATAATTTGTAAAAATTATTAATATTTTAACATTTTGTTGAATAGCCTGTTGATATGGTAGCCGTGCTGGATTGACAGAAATATATGAGGTCATCAGGGACCTGTCACTAGTATTAACGCACATGTAGTGCAAGACGATATAGACTT